CGAGAGGGCGGGGAGCGGGGCTCGAGCCGCCTTGAACTTGAGGCCGGGAGGGGGCGCAGCCCGGCCCCGCCCCCGCGACCCCGGCCCGGCCGCGACCTCGGGCTCTGCGCCAACGCGCGCCCCAGGCCCGGCGACAGCGGCTGCTCTTGGGGAGGGCGGGGGTCCGGTGTGCTGCGCGCGTGAGCGTCGGTGCGCGGGGGACTCCCGCGCCCACATGGGGGTCCCCCGCGCATCCACCGGCGCGCGGGTCCTGCCTTGTCCTGGTCCTCTTTGCGCGCGACCGTGGGTGTCTGCGAATCCACGTGTGTTGTGTGTTGTATGTGCGGTCTGCGCTTTGTGTGGCTGCGCGACAGCATGGTGCGCCTGGGTCACGGTACCGCGCGTCCTGCGGGGCGGCAGTGGGAAAGTGTCCGTGCTGTGCGTCCCTGGGTGACCGTGGGGTGTCCCTGCTTGAGGCCGTGGCAGGTTGTGTGTTTGGGGGTGGTGGCTGGTGAGAGCGAAACTGTATCGTGTGGCTGCGTCCCAGGGGATAGTTGGGTGTCGCTGTGTGCGCGCGACTCCGGGACGAGTGTCCCTGGGGACGGGTCTGCCCTGACCCCACCCCCCCTCACTGCACCCCCCTTCTTTTTTTCCTATAACTCAGGCAGCTGGGTGCTGGTGGGGGGTGGACAGGAGCTTTCTGGGCCTCTGCAAAACGCTGTCCCCCTTCGTCCGACCCCTGTCCAACCTCTTCTACTCCACTCAGCCTCAGTGTCTCCCATCTGCGGGGCTCGAGGTGGTCCCGGCTGGGCGCGAGGTGGCGCCGGGACGCGGTCACCCGGGGCTGCGCGTGCGCAGCGACCTGCCCGGGGCGGGGCGGGGCGGGGCGGGGCGGGCGCGGGGTTCCCCCTCCCTCTGCGGCCCCGGAGGACCCCAGGGGAAGGTGTCGGTCTCACAAGCGCAGTGCTGGCCTAGGCCGGGGTGGAGGGGTGGCTAAGGAGACCCCGGGGACTCCCTTTGCCCGGAGGATCCCGCGTGGCGCCGGGCGCGCCCCCAGCCCTGGCCCCGTGTGGCCCAGACGGGGCGGGCGCTCGGAGCTGTTTTCTCGCCTCCGGGGGAATCCCCGCCGCGCCCCGCCCCCACTCGCGCCTTTTTATATAATTTTCTAAATATAAAAGCTGCAAGGCCAGGCCGTCATCGCTCCTGTTTTGTTTTTGTTTTTTTTTAAATCCCCATCCCATTTGGGGGTACTGTTTGTAAAGGGGAGAAAAATTGGTCCCCCAAGTGCACAAGGATGCACACCTGAGTGAGTGAGAGCTGCCCCTGCCCAGCCTCGGAAGTCTCTCTCGCTGCTGCTCGGACACACACCTCAGGTCCCACTACGCCCCTGTGTGGGGCACAACATATGGCAGGACACCCTCACGGTATAGGTGTGTCTGCTCACACCACCCACAGACCCACGTGGACACACGCACACACTCAGGCACAGGGACTCACAGCAGCCGGCCCAGAGAAAGACAACCGCGTCCTTCCCTTTTCCCGCTCCGCTCCCCTGTCCCCCCACCGTGTTCCTTTGCCCAGCTCTGGGACGAGGTCACAGGGACATTCTGGGGGAGGAGCAGTGATGTGTGTGTGTGATCCCGTGTACATGGCAGAGTGTGTGCTTTGTGTGAACAGAGCTTCCACCTGTGGGCACAGGTGTGTGCTTGAGGAGTGTGTGCAGTGCGGGGGGGGGGCGTGGTGGAGGGCGGGCTCCTGTGGGAGCTGGTGTGTGGCTGGCAGTGGTGTGTTGTGGGGAGCTGGGAGGGGGTTGTATGGCTGTGTGTATCTAGGGGGTCTCTGCGGTATTTGAGAGGAGGTGTGGTGGAGGTTTTGTGTGTGTGTATCTGTCTATAGAGTCTGTGTGTGTGTATCAGTTTGAGTCTGTGGTGTGCATGTGTGGGTGTGGTGTGTCTGATCCAGCCCAGTGACACAACCCACCTTTCCCTTTTTTCTTTTGGTACCGGGGATCCAACTCAGGTCCTTGCGCTTTCAAGGCAGGTGACAGAACCACTGAGCTAAATCCCCAGCCCCCCACCTTTCCCTTTGTGACCAAAGAGCCTCCTGTCCTCTCTCAGAGCCTTCTGTCCCCATAATGGGTAAAATGGGGACCACACGGACCCGTTGCAAGAGCAGAGGGAATGTGCCAAGGGTGGTGTGGCCACCACGGTGCATTCAGCAGGAGCTTATGTGGCCTGGCTTCGTTCCCTTGCTCTCGGGGTGTGGTAGCTGTGGGGTGACCCTGGGGTCCTGGGGGCCCTGCGCGAGAGCTGATCAGTGTTGTGTGCTGAATGTTTTAAGGTTTGCTGTTTAATCACACAAGTGTGTCAGATGGGGAGGAGGGTGCAGAGTGAAGAGAGAGCCTCTCTGTCTGCACCCCGTCTCTGGGTGGGACCCCACTTTGGAGGTGCCCTCCTGAGCTTTGCCTGAGTGACTGCCCCACAGATTCCCAGCCTCGGGGGTCCCTGACCATTCACCTGAGGGACCAGATGTGTAGCCTTGCAGAGGACACTGCAGCTACATAGGGAGTTCTTATAAAGGATACGTGTATTCTTGTAAAGGATACGTGAGTATTTCTCGAAGGGAACTACCCTGCAAGTCCTGTGGACCAAACTCAGGGCCTTTGTGCTGACCTACATCCCCAGCCCTTTAAAACATTTTTTATTTTGAGACAGGGTCTCGCTAAGTAGCTAAGTTGCCCAGGCTGGGCTCAAGCTTGGGATCCTCCTGCCTCAGCCTCCCTGAGTATCGGGATGAAGGGTGTAGGCCACCAGCCTGCTAGGTATACTGCTATTAAGGATACATTTAGGGCCAGGGATTTAGCTCAGTGGTACTGCCATCTGCCTTGCAAGCACAAGGTCTCGAGTTTGATTCCTCTGGCACCAAAAAAAAAAAAAAAGGATACATTTGTAACTATGTAGGGTTACATATGTATTCTTATAAAGGATACTTGCATGATTTTATAAGGAATACGTGTGTATACTTTTTAAAAATCCTAAGTGAGGACTGGGCATTTAGCTCAGTGGCTTCACCGCCTGCTGCACAAGCACAAGGACCCAAGTTCAATCCCCAGAACCAAAAAAAAAAAAAAATTCTAAAAATCCTAACTGAGCGCCTGGGTTCTCTATTGCAGGGGGTCTCAACCAGGGGATTCTGCCCTTGGGGGTATTTCAGTGGCCACATGTGGGAGAGGTGGTCCTGGTGTGAACGGGTGGAGGCCAGGATGCTGGTCAGCACCCTGCAGTGCCCAGGACAGCCACCAACGGGAAGCCAAGAGAAGCGGCTCTAATCTATGGGTTGCCCCACCCTGCCCCTACAGCCTTTGGAGATGATTGTGGGGAGCTGTGGTCTGTGCCTGGCTGTATAGTATTCCGGGGTCATGAACTGGCCCTCTTTAGGGGCACACGGTGGCTGCTTTCCAGTTAGTGGTCTTTGTGCTATCAGATGGCAGTCACACCACCTTGCGCACCTGTATCTGGGACACTGGGTATTTATTGGTTTATCCACAATCCAGGGGCATAGGAATTGTCATGGCCGCATTTCACAGAGGGGAAAATGAGGCAGACAGGCCAGATTGCAGGCTGGAGGAGACATAGACCCAGGCAGCCGCCCTGCACCACCTTTAGTGTGTTTAGCAGACCTACTATGGGTGCTTACCACTACTGCTAAGTAACTGCTGCATGGCTGGCAAGTGGGAGGGGCTGGGGGGCATCTGGGGCTCCATGTGGGCTGGGAGAGCAGTCTGAGGTCAACTTCAACTCCTAAGTACCTGTGCATTTTTGTTTGTTTGTTTGTTTTTTGGTTTGTTTTTTTTGAGACAGGGTCTCCCTGGGCCGGGGATTTAGCTCAGTGGTTTCAACACCTGCTTCGCAAGCGCAAGGACCCGAGTTCAGTCCCTGGTACCACAAAAAAAAAAAGAGAGACAGGGTCTCCCTGTATAGTTCAGGCTGGCTTTGAACTCACTGTGTAGCCCAAGCTGGCTTCAAACTTTGTGGTGATCCTCCTGCCTCAGCCTCCTGAGTGCTGGGACTACAGGCGTGTACTCCCACATTCAGCTGCCTGTGCAGTTTAGATTTCACCCCGTATGTGCTCATGGCTTGCTTTAGTAAGATAGCACCTTTTGCTATGTTGGCATTTGGATTCCTAGATGCCCCCTCCTCGTTCATCCTGCTGGGATGTTAATGCCCCTTCCAGCTGTACAGTAGGTTAGAAAACATTTATTGAGGCTTCAGCTTTCATTCTGTGGAGCAGGGACCCGGCAGGGGGCCAAGGGACAGGGGCAACCAGAATCTGGCAGCCTCCTGAGCCAGCTGGTGGCCCTGAGAGAGTGGGTTTGTCCTCCTGGCCTCAGTTTCCATTGCTGGAACTAGAGGATAACAAGGCTGTGGATGTCATCCCTGCCCCAGCTCTCGGCTCAACCTGTTGAGAGGGCATCATGTGGCTTCAGGATGCCTGGAGGGGTGAGTCACAGTGGGCCAGGTTTTCTAAGAATGACCAAGTAATGTTGTGCTAAAGTGACTTTGTTCTTATGCGGGTGACCCCTTGGGGTGTGTGGCTGGGCCACTTCGAAGAGAGAGGAGGAGAGACAGACTCCAAGCTGGCTGGAGGTCACCAGGTGGGAGAACAGTGCCTCTTTAGGAGCTTTGGGCTCGGACCTGGTGGCGCACACCTGTTATCCCAGGTGTGGCAGGAGGATTGCTATCCAGGAGGCTGAGGCAGGAGGATCACTAGTTCAAGGGCAGCCTGGGCAATTTTATAAAACCTGGTATCAAAATAAAATCGAAAGGGCTGGGGTGTTCCTCCGTGACAAGCATTTGCTTTGATGGAGGGGCCCTGGCTTTGATCCCTAGTACCTCAAAGGGGAAAAAAGGAATCAGGGCTCCAGTGGCCTGGAGACACCTTTCTCCACGTGGTGCTCACAACCTCAGTTTCCCGATCTGTGAAGTGAGCACACCGCTGGGGCTGGTAGGAACTGCTGAGCAGGAAGGGCAGAGGTGATGCTAGGATTGAAGTGGCCAGCTGCGCATCGGGCTGGCCCGGTCCTTCCAGAGTCTTGGGGAGACCCAGAGCACGGCCAGTGTCCCCCCACCCCGGTTTCTCCTTTGGGGCTGGCGGAGGAGGGGAGGCCTTTCTGGCCACAAGAGAAACCCTTGTTCCCAAATCTCTGCGGCCCCAGAGCTGCAGCTCCTGTGTGGCTCCTGGGACGCAGGGAAAGGGGGTCCCTTGAGCCCCCCGCCCCGTGCCGCGCACCCCACGCCCGCTCCACGCGCGCCCCCGAGCCCGCCCAGCTCTACATCTTTAAGGGGAAAGGCGCGCTCCCGCCGCTCTGCGCACGACACTGCTCCATTCCCTCCCTCCCCCCTTGGCTCGGTCCTGCAACTTCCCGGCCAGCTCGGGGCGCCGGGCGGGGTGGGGGGTGCGCGCCTAAAATCCAGCCCCGGCCCCTCCGTGTCCAGCAACGGCCCAGCCCCCGTCGTCACCACCTCCCCTTGGCGCGGGCGGGACACTTGCGGTGGGGGCGTCGGGGGCCCACGAGGACCCAGGCTGGGGTGCGTTGGGGGGGCGCGGGGGGCGGAGGGAGCTGGGAGGGTTAGTCAGGCGCAGGGTTCCTGAGACTTTGGGGGGGGGGACGTTCCTTCCTGACTCGCGCTCTTTTTTCCCTCTTTTCTTTGAAAGTTGGATCCTGCAAAGTGGGAGGGGAGAGAAATGGGGGGAGGGCGAGACGGAGAGAAGAAGGGGGCGCAGCAAAGGAGAGGGAGTCGGACAGAGACGGGGAGATCGGGGAGGCGCGCGCCGGAGCGAGGGAGGAGGAGGAGGGGGAGCCTGAGGGAGGAGGCGGGAGGCCGCGGGAGGAGGCGGCGGCCTGGGGGGGTTGGAAAATGACTCAGTAAGTTCCGCGCCCGCTCCGGCCGCCCTGCGCCTCCCGCCGCGCCCGGGATGTATTCGTCCCCGCTGTGTCTGACCCAGGTACGCCCCCCGCCCGGCGCCCCCCGAAACCTTCCCCCCAAAGGGAGCCCCCAACCCCGGCTCTGCGCCCCCCTGTGCACCCCGAGTTTGGAAGCCGGACAAGGCGGGACGAAAAAGGCGCGCGTCTCTCCCGCCACCTCCACGGGTCGGGGGTCCGGTGGAGGACGGGTTAGGCCGAAGACCCCCCCATCACAAGCACTCGCGGGGGCCCCCAAGAGTAGAGACTCCCGCCCAGCTCGCCCACCCGAGCTCGGGACCGCTCCCCACTTCTGGACGCGGGGCTCCGGCTGCAACCCTGGCCTCCCCCCACCCGGGGCACGCTCCCCCCAACTTGGGGAGATTGGGGAGCGGGAGACCCCGAAAGAGGCAAAGGCGAGGTTCCGCGCCTGGGAGGCATCCAGAGGGTCCCCGCTGGAGCCCCTACCCCAGCTGTGCCAGGGAAGGGGACCCCTCCGTGTCCCCCAGCCCGCGCCTCCCCCACTCGGCCCACGTGTGCGCGGGGGGGGGGCGTACGGAGTTGGAGGCGCGGGGCGGGGGATGGGGGCTCTGGGGTCCCCGCTCGCCTCCTCCCTGCCCAGTTCCCCAGCCCCGTCCGGTATTTTCGACGCATCGATCGTGAATTATTGAGCTGCCGCCGCCGCCGCGGCTTGGGGCGGGAGAAGCGGGGCGGCCGGGCCCGGCGGGTCACTGCAGCGCTGCCAGCGCCACCTGCCCCCTCCCTGGCTCGCTGTCACCCCTGGCGCAGCTCCCAGATGCCCCGGGCTGAGCTTTGGGCCAGGGGTAGGGAGAGGTGTGGGAGGGGGCCGGAACCCCCACCCCCAAGACCCGCAGATCCTGGTCCCAGCTCTTGGTGCCCCTCTAGGGTTGCGGTGTGTTGGGCCCCCGCGGAGGCTCTGGCCTCAGTTTCCCCCAGGTTAACTGGGGCTAAGGCAGAGGCAAGGCGTCCTCCAGACTGGAAAGCTCAGGGCCAGCGGGAATGAACTGCAAAACCAGCCAGGGCTTGCGGGGGAGGGTGCCGGTTTGGGGTCCCCCTATGCGCGATCCTGCAGCGCCCCCTCATGAGAGGGACGTGGGACTGGTGCTGAGGGGGCTCCCAGCCCTGTCCTCCCCAGGCTCCCCGGGTGACCTTGGACAAGTCCCAGTGCCTCCTAGGCCTCAGTTTCCCTTTCTGAGCAGCTTTTGGGGGCGTCCCCCGAAGCAGGTGTCCCCTTGAAGGTCTCCCGAACAACTAAGGCTTGCTGTGTGACCTTGGGCGGGCTTTGAAGTCTCTGTGCTGGCGAGGGGCCCTCACTGGGTCCCCTCTAACTGCAGGGACAGACAGCTGGAAGGCCGCCCTGGTGTCATGGAATTCCCCCACCAGGGCCAGGACGCTGCGTCCACACTGCTGCTGGGGTGGGGTGCAGACCTGGCCTCAGTGTCCCTGGCAGCCGGGCAAGGCCTTCCAGGAGGGCTGTGGTGGAGACATAAGGACCGCACCTTGCAGCACCCAAGGGACAGAGAGGCAGGCAAAGGCACAGGACAGAGGCTCGAGGTGCAGGCCGGGGTGCAGGTGGGGTCCCCGCTGCCCCCCTGGGGTCCTCTTTGCCCCTGGTGCCCTGGAGAGGAGTCTGGGACCCCTTCAGGTTCTCTGCAGCCTGTGTTTGTCCCTTACAGGTCCAGCCTGCTCTGGGGTCTCCAGGGGGCTCAGAAGGACTCCCCAGCCCCGGCTTCCTGCCTCAGTCTCCCCAACCCCTCTGCTGCCTGGTGCCCGCCATGCTGGTCCCTTCCGGTCTTTATCGCTGTCTCTCCTGGCGTCTGTGCCTCTCCGATTCCTATCCTCCTCCCTCTCCGTCTCCCTCCTCCTTTCTCTCCTCCTCCCTTCACTCCGAAGAGTCCCAGTCTCTCAGTCTGTCTCTCCATCCGTCTCTCTGTCTCTGTGTGTCTCTCTATCTCTCACTCAGCTAATTTTACAACCCGGGTCCTCCCTAAAATAGCTCCCTTTTTAGCTGAGCTGACCCGGATCCTCCCGGGGAGCCCGGCAGCCCTGAGGGAGGGAGGCGGGGGCCGCGCTGGTGCCAGCTCGCCCAGTGCCACCCGGGCCGCTGCGGCGGGCGCCCTGGAGGATTCTGGGAGCCCGAGCCAGGTCCGGCGGTGACTCAAACACTTTTTCACTTTTACTCCTAAGAGGAACTGTGTGGACCTGCCGCTCCTTCCATAAATCCTGCCAGGGAGGTGGCCTCCCTCCCTCCGCCCGCCCTCTCTCCCTCCCATCAGCGCCACGTTAGTTATTCCGGGTTTGGGGCCAAAGCCCTGCTGGCTGCGGTGCGGAGGCTTCCCCGGCCTCGGGCTGGGCCTGGGCCACCTCCACAGCGCCTCCCGAAGTCATTCATTCCTCCCCCTCCTTGCCTCTCCCGGCGGCGGCAGCTTTCAACTGCCAGGATCCCAGTGGGGAAACTGAGGCGAGCAGTGGTTCCCTGGCTTCTGTTGGATCGAATAGAGGATCATGCAGCTGCTCTGTGGCCCCAAGTGGCAGCTGGGCTGGGGAGGCTGAGGCAGCGGGGTGCAGGCCCAGGGTGGGTTCTGGAGTGGGGCTGGAGCAGGCCCCCCAGCACCTCAGGCCGGGAAAGGGGCTGACTCAGAGAGGGACAGGGCCTGGCCAGGGCAGCCGCGTGGGGAGCTTAGGGCCAGGTTCCACCTGGCTGCTGCGCAGGTGGGGGCTCCCCGCGTGTCCCCTCTCCCCTGTCTCTGTCCGTCTCTGTCTCTGTCTCCGCCTCCCCGCTCTGTGCCTCCCAGAGCCCGGGTCAGGCGCCCGGTAAATCACCAAGCTGGGATTCTGGCAGACTCAGCAATTCTCTCTCCTCTCTCTCTCTCTCT